CATGTTTGTGTTTTTAACACTTAATAATAGAGTTATTAAGTACTTAATAACTTGGTCATTTTTCAAAATAATTTTTACGCCCATCACTACACTGTAGTAAAAAACATTTGAAATTCGGACATGTAAATTATTGTACTCGGATGCACAAATTACTATTTTTATTATGTGCCTTAACCTCCCTGATAAATTCATCCACCAATTTGAATTCCCATGAGAATATTCAATATCCGCCAAAATTAAAATATCCGAATTAATATTCAATATTAATATTACATAAAAATAATTTTTTTTTAAAATAAATTGTAAATTTCGGATATTTTAATTTTGGCAGATGTTGAATATTCTCATGGGAATTCAAATTGGTGGATGAATTTTGGTGGAAAACTACATGATTATTGCTCAGAAGTATGGTGCAGGACATCTAGTCCCTACAACTTTCTGCGCCACAGCAACATATTTGGGAAAAAATTCCCAATCAAATATGCAATAAAAATTTTACAGTCACGTGTTTTAAAAATAGATTTGGCACGTTGCATTCTCTTTATTGGTATCACGTGATAAAAGATCCGCAATACAGATTTCAAAATTTTCAATTCTTCCAATTCGTTCATTTTTAATATAAAAAATTTGTGTGTAAAACATCACTTTGGGGTTTAACATAGCAAATTTGTTAAACTTGTGCAACTTTAATTGACAATCCATGAATAAATCGGAGAGTCTTACATAGTGGTCAGCGGAGGAAAATTGACACAAAAATGATTAATTGAGTACCTTTGCATGAAAAATTGTACTATACTTTTGTTCCACTAAATAAATTTTTTTTTAGCGTGCAGATAAAACATAACTCAGAAAACATATTAATATATTTTATTTTACCTTTACTTAAGCAAAGAAAAAAGTTTACTCTTTAGCACTCATGGATTGTTGGAAATTTTTATATAGAAAATTTTGTTTTTTATGTGTAATGTTCATTTTTAACAAGAGAAAATAGTAATAGTAATAGTAATAGTTTTATTATTATTGAATCTTAATTGCATTTACAATAAAAAAAATTCTTTTTTTTCTATATACAGTTCACTCTATAACAGACCATTTGACTTAGCATTAGTATTAGTATTAATATAACTAGGAAAAAATGTTTATTATAGATAATCCATTATCAGCAATAATAATTTATATATTAATATATTAATATTGGACATATAGGTCAGGCTTAATATTAATATCAATATTCTCAGTATGTTACAGAGGATCCATTATTATTAGAGAGTGGGAGTGGGCTCTATAATAAATATTCTTAAAAGTAAAGGTTTAATGAATTCAAAAATCATGGATTATCAATTAAATTTATTGTTAAAAACATTATACATGTGAAGTTAATATTAATATTATTTTTTTTTTACATTAATTATCCATATTAGTATTCTTAACTGCTTGTTTTTTATGATTTTGATTAAATCTAAATATCCATTATTTGATTTGTTGGAGAGAAGGGATTTTTCAATTACGTTTAAATCAAGCCTTTTTACCACCACTTTTTTCCCAAATTTTGTTTATTTTTTAAAGCAAATCATTGTATGAATTTTTCATACAATAAATTTAAGTCATTATCATCTATTGACAATGATATCTATTGGTTCAAAATTAGTAATGGGCTTGATAACGATTATAAAAGTTTTATTGTTATTGTGTAATGGACATTTTTAGATTTTTATTTTTGAAAATTTTATATAAATTTCCTCTGTATTTTTATAATAAATTGATCAACATTTCTCTGATTTATAGATGGATCATCAATTAAGGCTTAATTCCTCCAAAACAACATGACATATCAACAAAATGAAAATGTCATTTTGTAGAAAAAGGTCTTAGCTTCAAAATGGCATCTTGTTTTTTTGGTCACATATTTCCATTTTTGGAGGAGTTAAAGGATTTGCAAGACTAATAAAAGTTGTAGGGACTAGGTGTCCTGCACTATAGCATTTCAAATTTCCACCATGCTAATGACATCATTTTCTATTATTACCTTAATATTTTGTGTAATCGCTGCGCCACACATTACGTCATGTAACTCATGTAGATCATTACATCATTTCTATTTTTATATGACATAATTTATTTCGAATTATTAGTCAGAGAATTAGTAATTGGCAATTAGTAAGCTAGTAATACAGAAAATAGGATTAATAAGCATATTTTATTGGATAAAACATTGTAAAGGTCATGTTATTTGTAATACCTCAAGAGGTATAAAAGAGCTTGGTTTTAGACCAAGTAAGAACCATCATGTTCATGATATAATAATAATAACCTTGTAACAACCTTCTTATTGCTAATAAAGACACATAACACTTTTAAAATAATTAATCTAATAAACCTTTAACAAACCATTGCTAAAAAGCATCTTTCACCTTAATTAAAATTATTCTAGCTAGGGGATGCCTTAGCTAGAACAGAGAGATACATTTATTTTATTTTATTTTATTTATTTTAGGCTTGTGCCAACAGTACTTAGCATTAGTACTGTAGAGAGAGAGAGAATTGCACAATAGAGTATTTTGAGTAGGCTCGAGCTGTGTGTGGATACAGGGAGATTTATATATTGGACTTTTTTTTTATTTTATTTTATATTTTATTGGACACATCACAAGCTGTATTTTACACACTCGCAATACAATCTCATTTTGGATAAGAGGTTCTTCATCTAGCCAAGAATTTATGATTTAGATTAATGTCTTTTTAAGAGCTAACTTATAAATATGACTTTTATCACTTTTAAAGATGATGCTAAAAATATTGTTGAAAAGAAACCCAAACATAAAAAAAAATCAAATATTGTTATTAATAAAAAGGTTATTGATCAAGTGAAATCTAGATATACAAAAACTGCTGTAAGTATATTTTTTGATTTAATATTTATTTGATTTAATATTTATAAGTTATTTTTTTTTAGGATAATAATGAAAATACAACAATAAAAAAAATTGCACGATTCATGTCTACAAATTTTGATTACAACAAAATAGCATTCAATGTCCCCTTACTGGCATTTACAATAGACCTTGACAGTCCTTCAATATTTATCAATCTCAAAATATGTGGCAATGATGATCTTAAAACATTAATGAAAAGTTACAATAATATTTCTTCTTGGAAGCCAATAGATAAAAAAATGATTGATATTATATTACAACTCATTAAAAATGGAAAAACCGAAATTAAAATTAATGATGAATTAAATGATGATTATAATCTAGTTGTGAAGATTAATAATAAATTGTAAATATTTTCAATAATCAACAATCATTAAACCTATGTAGTGTTGATTTCTAAATTTCTGGCTGTCAATTTCACTATTATTTTTTAATATTATAGGAAAAAAATTTGGTTAGATGGCTGATATGAAAACAAATATCAAGGTGATAATACCATCAATGAAGATACACACAAACATACATTCATACATCCAATTATGTACAAAGTGATAAAAAGAAATAATCGAAAACTGCAAATTGACTGGTAAAAATATTTTCATATTTTATATTTTTAAATTTTTTGTCAAATACATGTAATACACTAAAACATGAAGCCAAAATAGAATATTTATATAAAATAATTATTGGCATACACACAAAGGATGGAAACCATAATGTAACTCTTAATTACAATTTATGGCTACAAAGTCTTGGTGTTAGTGAAGAAGGAAAAAACTTAAATGATTATATGACTTCATGTATATTCAGAACATAGAGTTAATTGTTTGATAGGCATTATCAAAAAATATAAAGATCCTACACAAAATGGAAAACTATGAAAATGACAGAATCCATCCATCAACAAAAAAACAGAAATTGTATAATTAAATATCAATAATTACTCGCATAGGCTTTATTTAATATTGCAAAACCAATTATAAGATATTAATACATGCATATATATTTATAAACAAATAATTTCTCTATAATATATATAATTCGAATTAATTCAATAAAAGCACAAAATTTAAAAATATTAATAGGATTATACATTAATGCTTATTTGTTATTATTACACATAAATAAATAAATTAACAAGCTGTCTGTTTTTAATAAATCATACCCACCCAATTCGTTTTACTGTTTCCAAAAAAAACAAAACCGGAAATATTAAGTAGTTTATGCATTAAAGCAATGACATACATCAATTAATTACAGCCCTTCAACCAATAAAAAATGTAACCTTGGCTGATTGTTTTTTTAATCTAGGCTGTCTTGGATCAGCAATATATTATATACCAGTGTGATATAGTGATCTCACAGATTGTCCAATTAGTTATGATTTGCACTTCTGCTTACATTTCTCATAAGATTAAATCTACTTATGCTTTTCATAATAGCCTAATTTGCTTGCACTTTTTCGGCAAATCCTTTTTGCTTACTTTTCTTGGTAAGTCTTTTCCTGTGTACCTTTGTGATACATCTTTTAATATATGTTTTGTGAAGAGACTAATGATTAGAGTTGGCCAAACTGCTAATCATGATTTTAATTAGAGGTGGGTTTATGGGCTTGCTTTCTTCAGCAACAAATTTTGTAAATAAGTTGGTTTATATAAAAAATGGGATTATTTTATTTCAGGCGGAAAAATATGTTTGATGTAAAAAAGTAGAAAATTTTATTAAGAGATAAGATTATTATTATTATTATTAATTCAGAGATTATTAACATGATGTCTTTAACTCGACTCTCAAAAATTATACATGTATATTTATACCTTCAACAGTATTATGATAATATGACCTGCTAATTTAAAAATATAAGGAGCAATTTTTTC